TTTGATTTAGGGTTGTTTAATTGTGTGTTGACATAGTCAAGAAGTTTTGTATGTTTATTGGGGTTGGTTTTCACAATTTCTTTCACAAATATGGAGGACTGACCTTATGTTTGTAATCTTTTGTTTTAACAGTTTTACCCACAAACAAACTTGAAGGCACATAGTACCAGTTCATGGAAGTTCATGGAATAAAGACATTCTTCGAACTAAACCCTGTGATCTACTATTGCTTGAATTTTGGGGTTAGCTACTGGACAGGAGCCAGCGCGGTCAGTGCACACTCTGAGGCCAGTATAGAATCAGTTATAAACTGTTTCATCCAGTGTTAGTACGAACACAACACCGGCCAAAAGGGATGCAATGGCCACCGTCGGAACACAAGGACTCCACGACTTTGGCATAACTGCATTGTTTAAGAGCGGATGATTTGTAAGCATTTTTTTAGGATTAACTGACGATCGTAGTAATCTACAATGTAATGGCCGGGGCCGTGGTTTAGGATGGCCGTTGTTCGCTGATCCGAGGGGCGGCTGCCCGGGTGTGCGGTGGGCCCGCTCCACTGCTATTTCGTCACCACCAGGCAGCTTCGTGTGATTTGTAAGGAAGGTGGATATAAACTCCTCACATGTTGATTTGTAATGATAAACACATGGCACACATAAACTTTGAACCCCCCAAGAATCATCCAAAAGTTCTGTGTGTGCCCCAGAGCCTTCTGGGATCCCGTGGATGATGATGTTATTTCGTCTACTTCGGCTTTCCAGATCATCAACTCGACTCTCAAGCTTGATGATTAATTTGTCGCATGAATCGACCCGATTGTTAATCAGGGGAGTGAGTGTGCGGCTCTGCTTTTCCACCATATTTAGGCCAGTTTTCATGTCATGATCATGATTGGAAACAGTAGATCAGAGCTCCAGAGGCTGACTTTCTACGTTGGTGAGTTTTGTTTCCATGGCAGTCAGAGACTGTAGAATTTTGTCTAACTTTGTGCTGAAGTCCGTAATCGTATTGTGACAAGTACATCGGTGGCCGCCATCTTGGTAATCTTCACCAGTAGGCTGTGATGGTATTGTTAGATCTTTGATAGTTGTTCCTTTTCTGTTAGATCTGGTCGATTTCTTCTGCTCTGTCGATTCAGCCATGTCCAAACTATTAATGGAAGTGAGTTGGGATAATGTTAAGACATCTGACGGCTACTGAACGAAATTTTTGTCTGGTTTTTGGCGTAGAGGTCTGAGACAGGTCCGAGTATCACGAGTTCATCATTTCATTCCAGTCGACGTCGATTCGGATAGAATTACGGAGACAAATTCGAAAAATGTCAAACGCAATCTGTAATTCTGGCTTAATACTACCGCAATCAATGATTTTAGCAGCACTCTGACTATCGGTGAACAACTTCAGATTAGAAGATGAGATTATCGGGAGAAATGATGAGAGAGCAAATCGGATAGCTGCAAGCTCACGCCACACAGAACTTTTGGATGATTCTTGGGGGGTCCAAAGTTTATGAGCCATGTGTTTATCATTATAAACCACAGTCCCTGCGCCAATGGAACTAGCATCGGAACAAACTACCTTATTGAAAACTTGGTGAGCGAAAATAACGAACATTCAACTGGATTCAACTTCAAAATCGAATCTCAGAAGAACAAGGACGATTAAGAGTCAAGTCATCAGCCGCCTGTGAAATTACCATTTGGCAATAGCGAGCCATCAGTCTAGTAATACTACCCAGCACTGGCGACAAGGAAATGACCTGCCCAACAAATGAATGCAAATCTTATTAGTGAGGCATGACGTTTGCTGATTGAGAGTGTCGACAGACTTACGAAGCTTGTGTATTATTCTGTCCAAAACCTGCAGCCTGCCCAACCAAACGAGCCAATTACAGGGATTCCAATTGCTTTTGGAGATGTTGTAAACGAAGCCTGCTTTTAGTAAGTCTGAACGAACGTGGGTAGAAACAGAAGAGGCAACTGAGGTGTGCATAGAGGCATCCTCTGGACAGGGAATGGATACGAACCCATCGTCCAAATATACAGCAACCGAAATTTCGCACGCTCTCCAGTGTTTCACTAAAGGCTTCAATAATTTTGTAAATATGTATGGAGCTGTTGTGAGACCGAATAGTAGAATATTGAATTCGAAATACCGAGTGACATCATTTATACGCCAAGAAAAACCTAAATAGCACTGGGAAAATGGAGAAATGTCAATATGATGATAGCCCGATCTTAAATCAAAAGAAAACATGAGAGCACTGGGAGACAAATACTGAAGACCGATCTTCCAGTCATCAATTTTGAAGTGCTTTTGGGGAATTTATTTATTCAAGGAACTGAGGTCAAGAATTAAACGTTTTTTATTAGCCGAGGAGACAGCGACTGAGAGCGGACTAGTTACATAGGACGGACATGATTTCTCAGAAATGCAAAACGAGGCGAGTAATTCGAGAACACTTTTAGAAACAAAATCAGCCTCACGCAAAGCGGAATTGTTATTTCAAAAAACATCGGGGGCGGGTCAACGGTGAAAGGAATGATATACCCATTCTGGATAATAGAAAGTACCAAATTGGAAGCACCTATTTCACGCCCAAACTGAACATGTTGTTTCAGTCTCCCTTTAACGGGTAATTCATCTGACTGTAACGGCTCGAATATTGGATCATTTAGGCAAGCAAGTACCTTGAGAACATCGGGAAAATTATCACAGATGGATACCCTACATTGACTTAGTGTCTGATCCTGGAGACAGAGTGGCCTTCGTGAAGGGATGACAGACGGGGGAGTAGGCGTACCCCGATGGAGCGAGGAGACTTGATTGGGCAGCTGGTGAGTGCCAGTGGAAGGGGCATCTATGACCGTAGGAACAGAGTGTGGGGCTGACTCTTGGACGAGATTGGAAACGGTTGGACGGCTTGAATCCGGCCTAGTGGCCATACATGCCACAGGCGTGACATTGATCAGCAACAGGCAAGCCTGAAAAAAGTATAAATCGGAAACAAAAGAGAACAGACATGTGCCCGGGCGGGTGGGATAAACTATATCTGAGAAAACTTTTTGACGTGAAAAAAAAAACGGATCAGGGAAAAAGGTCAACGAATCGACCACACTCGGTAGGTGCTAGTTCCTGAAGGGCATTGTATTGGCTTAGAGAAACAGTCTACAGTGAAATGTAAGTAAGGAAGAACAAAGAAAGAGGATAACAAGAATGCATGGTATGTCCAAGGTATGGCAGGCCAAACAAAGAAAACTAAATTTCCTGGGTGTGGGTAGGACTGCCTTTGCAGCGGTTGGTTTGGCCAGATAATCTGCAAGGAGAAAACCGCTGATAATAATTCCCAGTTTGGGTTATTGGTCTACTTTGTAGCGGTAGATGTGCATTACGCTGTCTGACACTGTCGTGGAACTTTCTTGAGTCCGGCAGAGTCGCAAGTTTAAGAGTTTTTTGTGAAGCTTTGTTGAGACATCGAGCTCGATTGTAGTAATTCAGCGATGTAAATTTCATGCACTATCATGTAGGCATATTCAACATAACGTTTAAGGGCGATTCAAAGTATACCTGCTATAGCTGTAATGCTAGTTTTGCTTTAAAGTTACGTTAGGGAAATCAATGGTTATTTCATTGTGCATATCATGTACGTTTACTTTGGGTAATTTGTATTAATTTGTCAATAGATAAGAAATACCTTGTTTGTTTATTTTAGATTAAACCTCGGCAACTTGGCATGACTCTCGGCACTTGATGTAGTCCTCGGTGTGGTGCTTGCTCTGGTGCTTGGTGAATCTACTGGACAGATTACCCTGCGCACATGCGCTCAGCTTCGGACTTGAGTACTGGTGTGCTTTGGCTCATGTTTGCCTGCCTATGCTAGGAGTAAATGACCAGAGTGAATTAATCGTTCCAGATAGCAGTTAAGCAAAAAATGTAACAGTTTAATGACTCTCGAGTTTGGTGATTTTGGAGTACAACGACTCTGAGCCGTTTTTGAGCGTTGTTCCAACAACGTTCATTGGACCGTGCTCTTTCTGATGTGCTTGGCATTGTGGGATTGCTGATTGTCATCGTGTGGCATGTGTAAGGGGGTAAATGCTCCATTTGTAATTCTTTAGATTATTTATTAGAGTGTAATGGATT